ATTTAAGTGAACTTTTTGACTGTGGATAGAACAAATTAATATTCGTTGACAAAACAATTTCGATCTATAATTCAAAATGTCGGCAGGTTACAGTTTTGTCTATAATGGAAATTTATATTTGAATTGCACACAATACAACAAACTATTCGAAGAACATTGCAGTTTTAATTCAACATGACCTGAAGGTTTACGTCAGCTAGTTAAATCACTATTTGTCCGTTGTCCGTTAACACTTTGATAAAAACCTTCCCACCATTGCTGGTCTATATTAGAAACTTGACCACCATTATTATTTTCGTTGATACTTTCAAAGATGTGTCCCATGTATATATAACAATAGGGAAGAGCTATATAAAATAATAAGAAACACCGTCGTTCTCAAGTTCTCGAATGAGTTAATTTTTATAATTTTCCTAATCAAAATTAATATTTTTTTTTTTTAAACCCTGATTTTGTTTGTATTTAATCCTACGGTGTAGACAGTTATTTATTCCTTAAACTTCAAAGAGACATTTTACGTGATAAACTATCTATACAAATGTCACAGACTATTGAACATTGTTTGTATGGTTGATATAAATAGAATATCATGGAGGAATAAACAGTAATGGTAGGTTTACTTATAAATTGTAAATTTTGCACAATAATATGCAAATGTCAAAATAGTTGTAGGGTAAAAAAAAAATTTCCCAGTTTTTACCTAAAAATATCAAATTTTGATGAATTTTGCGATTGAAAGTATGTTTGCGATAGGATAGACAAATCAAGGACATACCAAACAAAATTAAGGCTCTTTGCGTCTTTTGTCAGCTGAATTTGATCTTTGAACTCTTTTTAAGATATCTACTCTGCAAGAAATCAACACTTAGTTCTAAAATACACAAATAATGTCACGTGTAATTAAATCTTCTGCACATTTATGTGAACTTTTTGACTGTGAATAGAACCAATTAATATTCGTTGACAAAACAACTTCGATCTATAATTCAAAATGTCGGCAGGTTGCAGGTTTGTCTATAATGGAAATATATATTTGAATTGCACAAAACAAAGCAAACTAGTCAAAGAGCATTGCAGTTTTAAGCCAACATGACCTGAAGGTTTAGGTCAGCTAGTTAAATCACTAATTGTCCGTTAACACTTTGATAAAACCATCCCACCACTCCTGGCCTCTATTAGAAACTTAACCACAATTATTATTTTCGTTGCTACTTTTAAAGATATGTCCTATGTATATATTACAATAGGGAAGACTTGATGTAGCCTTTGTAAACATTGCCTGTACATATTTTGAGCTGATATTAATATGTATATGAAAAACAAATCACAAATTGAATTTAATTAATTCTTCAACTGATTCAAGGTGGTAAATAAATTGATATAATTATTTGGTTTTAATTAATGCAATGGTTTTGAATTTCAAGTGGCATCATAGATATAAAAAGATAATATAATACATAACATATTTATTATAATACTGATCAAAATAATATAAAATACTGTAGCATGTTGTTCCATAAATGACAATTTCCTCTACAAACGAACATACTGTTGGTGACCTTCTGCTGTTGTCTGTTCTATGGTTGGGTTGTTGTCTCTTTGACACATTCCCCATTTCCATTCTCAATTTTATAGTACCAAAAATTTGTAAGGGGTTCTGCGGAATCCTGTGTCTCGCGTGCGATTTCTGTTGTCAGTGTAAAAGTGTTATGTTGGCAGTGGCTTATGAAGTGAGTCCATTTTAATATCAGTAAAATACAGTATTTAAAAAAAAATCACTTTTTTCTTAAGATACTTTTTCTTTGTCTTGAAGATTTAGCTTCTGTCCAAGTTTCATAACAATCCAAGACGATTTACAAATACAATCTAACCCCAGACTGTCTGTATATGTTAACTGTAAAAAACTAAGTCCATCTATCAGAAAAATACTGAAAATGAAATAATATTTTCAAAAGTTTGCTTTAGACATTATCTCTAAATCATAAAAAAACTTCTTCCAAAGTTTTATAAAATTTTACATGTATGAAGGTTTGATAAAGTAATTGATGTGTAACAAACTTTAACCCCAGACTATATCTACTTGTTAGCTGTAAAGAAAAACGTCTATTGTCAGCTGTATTTGATCTTTTTACTCTTTTTAAAGTATCCACTCTGCAAGAAATCAACACTAAGTTCTAAAATATACAAATAAGGTCACGTGTAATTAAATCTTCTGCGCTATGCACATTTAAGTGAACTTTTTGACTGTGGATAGAACAAATTAATATTCGTTGACAAAACAACTTCGATCTATAATTCAAAATGTCGGCAGGTTACAGTTTTGTCTATAATGGAAATTTATATTTGAATTGCACACAATAAAACAAACTAGTCGAAGAACATTGCAGTTTTAATTCAACATGACCTGAAGGTTTACGTCAGCTAGTTAAATCACTAATTGTCCGTTGTCCGTTAACACTTTGATAAAAACCTTCCCACCATTGCTGGTCTATATTAGAAACTTGAAAACCATTATTATTTTCGTTGATACTTTCAAAGATGTGTCCCATGTATATATAACAATAGGGAAGAGTTTATGTATCCGTTGTCAACAATGCAATGGATTTAATTATTCAACTGATTCAAGGTGTAAAATTAAATTGATATAATTATTTGGTTTGAATTAATGTAATGGTTTTGAATTTCAAGTGGCATTATAGATATAAAAAGATAATATAGTACATAGAATATTTATTATCATACTTATCAAATAATATAGTACTGTAGCATGTGTTTTATAAATTACCATTTTCCCTACAAGCGAACATATTGTTTTTATTGGTATAACTATTGGTTTTGTTATCAGTAAATTTAAAAAAAAAAACATACTAAATATTATTGTTAAACATTTGCACACACATTCACAGTTCTACAATCTGTCGATACCTATATTTTGACATATTTTTCTCTGACTGTTAATGATTGATTGATTGTTGGTTGCTTAACGTCCAGTGGCAAACATTTCATGAATGTTCAGGACGAGAACAAATTAACGATAAATACAATAGGTAGGTCCAGTAATAGAGGCCGTTCGGGATGAAGGTCGGGGAAATTTAGACTGCCACTGGAAAATGAGGTATATTGGATAGGTACAGAAATTTTGCCTTGCTACAAGTCACCTTTGGACCCCTCAAAGAGTTGTTACAAGGGTTCTTAACGTGCAGAGAGCGTGGCACTCTTTTCACACGAGGCATCGGCTTTAACGTCCCAATTCTGACCGGACGTGGCTGCGTACTTGTACATCCCGCACAGCCAATCGGACGTCCCATTTTAGTAAGGGTTTTACTGCAAGTCGGAAGAAGACCTGTAGTTACCATATTTCTATTCCCCAGTCACCCTTTGTGTGATCATGACTGTTAATGACGTCTTTACACTAAATCCATTTGATAATGAATGTGTACTGATTGACATCTTGGTCTTAGATACATGATTTTCTTATAAGTTGTTATTGGCTTTGAACTAGCTATCAGTTACTGTACTTTGAGTCTTTTCTGTTGTAAGGGATGTATAAATTCCCTGCCACCGCCGTTCTGATATATTTCTGCTTTATATCGATCTGATGAGTTCTTTTCAAAAGATTCTTATAGAATGTTCTTATGTTGTACTGTTACATCACTGTCCAAGGTTAGGGGGACGGTTTGGCGCAAGCAAACATGTTTAAACCCGCCACATTGTTCATGTGCCTGTCCCAAGTCAGGAACCTGTAGTTCAGTGGCTGTCGTTAGTTCATGTCTCTCATAATTGTTTTCTGTAAATTGTTTTGTTATAAATCAGTCCGCTAGTTTTCTCAATTGAATTGATTCATATGTTGCATGTTGGTGTCTTTTATAGCCGACTACACGGTATGTGTTTTTCTCATTGTTGAAGGACATATGGTTGCCTATAATTGCTTACATCCACTTCATTTGAACTTTTTCGTGGATAGTTGTCTCATTTGCAATCATACCACATCTCCTTATTTTTATATTAAGCAAAAGTATTGACAACATGTTTTAAGATCTAGCAAGCATCACAATAACTACAATTATACCAACACTATGTGTTTTATTAACTCCCGCCAGTTTTGTCTGCAGAAACAAAAATTAAGATTACATTTTTATAAGACATGAACCAACGACAACCACTGAACTACATGCTCCTGACACAAAGAATTTGGCGTGGTTAATCATGCTTGTGAGCGCTGAACCCTCCCCTTTACCTGGAATAGTAGTGTTGTCACAAATAGTGCCTTTCCGATGATGAGTGTCCAAAGCTTGTCACTTACATAGAAATGTCGTGGATCACTAATCTGTCCACACTGTTCGCATTTTAAATATAAAATTGAAATCGGACACCTAAATTTGGTCGCCATTATGTATCAATGATTACCACTTATCATAATGCGTTTCAGTTTTTGTACAGAAATATCACCCTCATTGTCTCATTCATTCATTACATCATCGAATAACACTCTTCATCGAAAAGGTACTATTTGTAGAACAAAAACTGCTAAACATTTCAAAACGCATGAATTCAGCCCTAGGGTTTAATAAAGGGTTTGTGTTGATCAGTCTTTAGTATTCTATACAAATTAGGGATTATTGTTTGTCTTTTTGTCTATTCTTATGACTGTGATCTTTTTTTTGTCATCTTGTCATCTTTTTACTTTTCATACACATCCTAGCCAATTCAACAGGCGAAGCTGTTGACAAACACATTTGATTGTAAAAACAACAACAATACATACTCTTGCTGGACTGACAGACGTCGCATTTAAGAAATATATATCCATCAGCGATTACAATCGATTTAGTCTGGAAATGGTTTAAGATCCTGCATGTGTCTCAAATTATATAACCTGCTAAACGTAATTCCAATACTACATTTGATCAACGTGTATCAGCAAAAGATGTTCTAAGTTTTTGTACGGACTTTTATTTGATCGTTTTCTTTAATTTGTCTCTTCATTTAAAATATTTCAGAAATTCTAATTACACAAAGACAATGACAGAAGAGCAGGAGCAACAAGAAAACTTTTACAGACATTCAACAGTTATAGTTGATGTAACTAAAGAATCACTTCAACAACTTACTGAATTTTATTTGACAAACAAGGGCATCACATACGAAGACTTTATCAAAAAGTACCAGCATGAGCTCTACCATCTATGTTACAACTATTATCCGTGCTGTAATTGCGCAACTGGTACACCTCCACATTCAAGAGGCAACAGGGTACTTCATCCTCCACAACTGGCTTTATTTCTAGATTCAGCTGGTGCAAAATTGCCATGCCACAATCCAAGTAGTAAATCGGCGCCAAACTGTTGTTGTCCTGTAAGAGGGAACATCACTCTACAAGAGCTTGATGTGACTCTAGCTCGAGTTATTCTAATAAATTTCCTTGTCCCTCCTTCTTCCACGGAAAGAAAAGCAATTGACGATCTTGTCAAGATAAGAAACGAATCTGCGCATGCCAAAAAAGGAAAAATGGCAAATGATGAGTTTATCCAATCAATTGAACAAATAACAAAGTCCTTATTGATCATAGCAAAGATATATGGGAAAGAAACAGAAACAAAACAGAGACTGCGTGAAGTTTGTAGACAACCCTTTAACACTGCAATTTATTTGGAATTACAGAAAATATTACTTCAACAAATAGAGAGGGACGATGACCTGAAGCAAGTAAAACAGGTAAAGTACCATTTATACTAACGATATATTTTGGTAAAAATGCTAATCTGTTTTGTTTCTTAATCGACCACAATTTCTGTAATTATCATATCATTTAAACCTAGTACTTCGAAAAAAAAAATGCAGTGTATATTACCAGTATGCATTTGCTTTCGCATGCAGGTGTAAGTTTACATGATGACAAAAAAATGAGACAACCATAGTCATATCAGAAACAGTGTTTGGAAATTGTTTTCGACCTGTTGCGGAGTTTCATTGAACAAGATGTTTTTGTCAGAATTTATTGAAAGGTGCCCTGACGAAATCGATTTCACACGGCTTGATCTCTTAATGATCAATTTCAAACAAAGGAAACTCCTCTAACCTATTTGAGAGCGAATGTCTAGTCATGTTGGTCTTGTGAACATTAAATGGTATCTTTAAACGCAGTACACAAGTTGCTTGTAGTTTGTCGTATAAAAATAAGGAGATGTGGCATGATTGCCAATGAGACAACTCTCCACACAAGAGACCAAATTACACAGAAATTAACATGCATTTCGTTCAGCCTGAGTATTTTGTATAATATTATTCGACAGGTACATGTAATATCATTTGTCCGTTTATATAACAATGTTAACTGCAAATTCTTTAATGTCGCTATGCTGGGTTATTTATTATATATTATATACTAATAATTACTTTCAGATGCTTGAAAAACTCACAAATATTCCAGGAGGTATGTATATATTGCAGCTTGCACTTAATACATGCGTACGGTGACCTATAGTTGTTAATTTCTGTGTCATTTGGTCTCTTGTGGAGAGTTGTCTCATTGGCAATCATACCACATCTTCTTATTTTTATATATACTACACAAGACTACATGTATTACATATTAGGGTAAAACTTTTGCAAATGCTTTCTAAAATAACCTTCAATGATGCAATCATTCTTTATCACACGGCTGGCTCTGTTTTCTCTTCTGTGGTACTATTGGGACAATACAAACTAAACCTTGGATAAACAACGTATGATCTTATACTAAGTTAAAATATTCTATTTATATAATTGGAAACATGATGCAAGACTGAGGAGTCTACAGTTTTTGGTCAGCTTTGTAATTTTGTTCTCTACAAAATGAAAGGGAGCTACCATTTGATTTTTATGGGAGGCTAGGATGAAAAATGTTGTCCTGCATTTTTATTTAGTTGTAAACTCTGTCCTGCCTTTTTATTTTTCACTCTATTCGGTCCTGCCTTTTTATTTTTCACTCTATTCGGTCCTGCCTTTTTTTATTAGTTTATCCTGACTTTTTTACATAAATTGTCATCCTGCCTTTTTTTTGCAAAGTGTCTCATCCTGCCTTTTTTTTTACTCAAAACTCCTGTCCTGCCTTTTTTTCAAATTTCATCCTAGTCTTTTGTAGACGAAACGTGCGTATGGCGTACAAAATTCAATCCTGGCATCTATGATGGTCTGGCTCTCATATTTAGGTCAAAATGAAGGACGTAAAATCCGATGCCTCGTGAAAAGAGAGTACAGAGATCTCTGCACATGAAAAATTCTTGCAACAACTCATTGTAGCTTCGTTTGTGGCCTATTGCAAGGCAAAATCTCTGTTATTATTTTATACTAGAAACAACCCGGGTTGAAGACTACTTGAAATGTTTATGGTGATACATAGCTTGGGTTTATGTTTCTCAAACTGTTTTTATGCACTGATGCATTATGTTGATAGTTTTGATTAGTTTGTAAGTTCTTCTTCCATAGGAGTTTGAATGTCCAATTAGTAGCTTCTGTCTTGGTGTTACACAGGTGCACCTAGAACGGAGGAAATAACTCAGAGAAAAAGAAGACAACCTAGAACACTGATGATTAAAACATTTCTCAGTGGTGCTAGTTTGTAGTATTTCTTTCTTTTTTTTTCGAAGGTTGCAAGTAAAGTTCTGTCTCTGTGTGATACGGGTGCTCCAAGAACGGAGGAAATAACTAAGAGAAGACAATCTAGAACTTTCTGATGATTTAAAACATTTCTTCAGTGGTGCGAGTTAGTAGTATTTTTTTTCGAGTGGTGCGAGTTCTGTCTCTGTGCGACACAGGAGGAATTTATTAAGAGAAGAAGAAAACAATCTAATGATTAAACACATTTCTTCGAGTTGCTTATATTTCTTTTTTTTTTTTTTTTTGAATGGTGCGAGTTTGGTAAAGTGATGCAAGTTGTAATAATTAGTGAGAGTGTTTGAGTTGTGCGAGTTGGCCGTGGGCCGAGTTGTCATAAATTCAAGACCAATTGAATACAAAACCATTTCCGCCTGCTTACAAAACATAGACGGTAAGGAACTTTATTTGGGGTTTAATTAATTAAGCTACGTTAATTAAAGCAATTACTATATGAAGTTATAAAGTACATTGCATACACTAACTATTTATTATTATATAATACTTCAGACGATCGTCGGCTCGGAGACAAACCGGCTAAAAAATTTTGGTCTCCAAATTTAATAGTATAGATACCATCATTTTCCAGTGAAATTCCAAAATTCCCACATTTCAGGTTATAATAATTTGCATGTCATGCTTGTTTTAACATATTTTCATGATTTTAAGATCCAATACACAATCATATTAATCGAACAATTTAAAAAAAAAATCAATTTCACATATTTATCTTGTTGTAGAATCAGTTTCCATTGACAATCTGCTTGATGGTGTCACAGCTGTGCCAGGTTCTTCTCTAGGGAATGCCACATTGTCATCGATAATGCCTCGAAACTATCACGTTGTGTTTGGAATTGAGGTAGAGAACTTGACGAAATATAAATTAGAAAATTCTGAGACATACTTGACAAGTGGAGAAATTTCAATACCAGCTTCAGACATTCTTCCAGGATATAAAGAGGCAATGGTATATATTATAAGGTTTTGAATTCAATAGAAAATGAAATGTTTGAAATATACAACATAATGCTAATTATGGTATTTCGATTATCGTAACCTTTTGCAAATATCGCCAACCCTTATACCGCTACATATATTTCATCCAACAAAATTGAGAATGGAAATGGGGAATGTGTCAAAAAGACAACAACCCGACCAAAGAGCAGAAAACAGCCGAAGGCCACCGATGGGTCTTCAACACAGCGAGAAAATCCCGCACCTGGAGGCGGGTTTCTACTGGCCCCTTAACATAATGTGTACTAGCTCAATGAAAATGGGCGTCATACTAAACTCCAAAACATACAAATGAACTGAAATTAAAAAACATACGCTTTTTAAATTAAGTCTTGGAGCATGAAAACGAATAAAAGGGATACAATAGATAAAGTAAACGATATCAAATTCGCCTAAAGTAACGATATCAAATCCGCCTAAAGTAAACGATATCAAATTTAATTTCGATCGTATGATTTATAAACAGTAAAATAATTTTTCTTTTAAAATGTATCGTTTGAATCATGACTATACATTAGGGGTGGGGCTGGAGGGGGAGTGGTACCATAGGGAACTGGCTATCCACCAATAGGGGTACTAAGCTTTTATTAACTTGTTTGCTTGATATTTAAAAAAAAAGGATCGAGTTATATAAAATGCACACAAAGTCATCCTTGTTTTTTAAATTTTTGTTACCCACCTTTCAGATAAAAAAAATCTCCAAAACTTATGAACAGTATTATTCATCATTAATAAACGAATTATTTTACAGGTGGCAACGAAGAAACCATATTGGCCTGCATTTGGAATATGTGGAATAGTGTCGTGGCTCATCAGTGGTTGTGACCGACGTCTGGTTATTATGTTCACATTACCATGGCCTGCATTTCTAAACTATATAAAATACACAAATAAACTCTCTGTCGGCATATCCGACGTCGGTATCACAGAACATGATAGAAAATGGCATGCAACAATGAAGAAATTGAATAACAGGTACCCCGGACTTAATTTCAAAACCGAAGAATATATCAATTCCGCAAGACCAGTGAAAGTCGCAGATGATACATTCCAAATGAGTGGAATCATGGGAACAGGTCATCAAATCGAGGCTAAAATTGTTTTTAAACCAAATCGTGTGGAAGATTTGGCACAGAATTTAAAACAAATTGTTTTAATGAGGCAAAGTTTTAGATGAAATTTACATGACACTTTATGTTATATGATGTATAAATTTTTTCCTAGAATTTTATTTTTACATTTCTGAACATTTTATTCAAAAGTATGTTACAAAACAAATTAGTTTTCTGTAGCATTTATTTGCTTGTGAATTGAAATGGTACAGTGTAAAAAAAACAGTAATTGAAATTGTACAAATGTTATACTTGTTGTTATATTTGAACACAAGTAGATGAAGGTTATACGTCTGTGAGACAGCAACCAAATGGCAAAAGTAAATAAAGGATACCGCGAGGGCAACTTTCTAGTCAGTTAAAGTTTGCAACCTGAAACTACTATAACATGTTACAGGACTTTTAACTAGAAAACAAAGTATTATAAAAACTCCATCAATATATATTCATTCCAATGTGTTATCCAGACTTATTTGTTATTTCGAAATGACTCCTAACAAAAACGCCATAATTTAATATATTTAAACATATAAGTATATGAACAACAACGGTTTAAAGAATACAAACCAAAAACTATTAAAGTGGATAGTCGATGCTAAACCAAAAGAAAGGAATGCTAATTACTAGTACATGCATGTACATTTGAAAACTTTAAAGCCTAAAATGAAACTTTCTGAATAGACCTGTTGTGCACATCCGTTCATGCCACATACCATGAGCAATATTCTTAGGATTTTAATTCTTAGGATTTAAATTGCTACTGTATACCCACTGCTACTAGCAATGGTTTTTATCTTAATTAATTTGTTGCGTTTTGTCTATAACCCCAGCAACAGTCTCAAGTGCGTAGTCTGATTTACAATTTTCAAAAAATCCAAAAAAACTTGATCAGGGTCTCATAAAACTTCAGAATTCAGTGTATAAGATAGACAAAAGATAGCAAAGGGATATTTAAACTCATCAGTCGAAAACAGTCATAAATTTTATCATGCACTTTGTAACCCTTATATTTCCAGTTATATACATTTTAATTTTTAGATTTTTAAATCTGCAATCAGACCGTTCAAGTAGGCCCTAGAACCTCATTTTTAAAAATCAATGAACTCCTGAAGGAGTTTAGAGTTAACGTCGTATTGTTGCTTTAAAGCTTAGAAAATGTCATGAAATGAAACATTAGGCATTTTTTCAAGTGATGTTGAAGTCTCAAGATCCATTGAGCTTTTCAAGATGGCAGCGAACCAAGAACATGTCGACTGTCCAGAATATCGCTGTCGTGCTGAATCACTACTATGGAAATAAAAAAGTATAACAAAAATACCGACTCCAAGGTAACATTAAAAAAGGAGAAGTCGATAAAAACTCACAAATCAAACGTTAGACTTTATCAACCAACAATACGAAAGGAAAACAACTGTCGTATTCCTGATTTGGTACAGGCTTTTTCCGACGAAAAGACCGCGAAAATCATTTTGAAGTGGGAAAACCTGCATATATCGCTTTGGTGTCTTTCGCCTCTTGTCTACATCCTCTATGCTGCATATAATGATGAGAACACTCAGGAGAAATTAATTTCATTTACAATTATTTTGGTCATTTAAACAGGGAAAACTCTCTTGATCAAATTAGGTTGGTAAAAAAATAAAGTGGTCCCTTTATTGCGACCTGGGCTACTTGCACTTGACAATGTGTAATTTACACATCAGGAATAGCTTGATTAAACATTTTTAAGTTATTAAAGCAAGTTAAAACTTGATATATTTTAAAATATATATATTTAAAGACGAAAAAGAAAGGAAGAATAATTGGATTTGGGAAATTCCATATTACTCAACTTCAATTAAGAGTTTGTTAAATTTAGAGATAACTCTCACACTAAAACGCATAGTTATTGTCAAAGACTATCAATCAGTTTCTGTCAATTCAATAAGGTGCAATTTAAGTGAACATCACTTCTTGGTCATATGACTTTTACCATTGAAACAAATGTTACGGATGAAATGAATCAAACATATGGATTTCATGCCATTGTGCTTGAACTTTAGTCAAAAAGTTACACGATGAAATGTTTCCGTTATGAAAGTTATGACAAATAATTTTATATTTTAAAGTGCTTAAAAAAAAAACTATTTTTATTTTGTTATTGAGAAGTATATATCATTTGATTCCATGTTCTCGAAACAGTGAGTACTCTCTAAATAATGCAATCGACATTAAATATACCATTATTACTGTATTTCAAAACGGGGATATTAGCTGACATTATGAAATTTCAAAGATAACTGAAATCCAACTAGATATCAGTTCCATTTTTAATTTATATATTTGTACATATATGAATATACACATATTGATAATTTTAAGTAAGAAAATTTAGCAGTTTTGGGGTCAGAATAAGGAATAATGCACGTTTCACTTATATTTTTTTTATGATAATTTTTTTGATAATCAGTAAATACTCCCTGCTCAAATGTGAACAGTAGAGAGAAAGAGATGACATTCATAGTATAAAACCATAAATGTGCATATTATTATGTTTCAGATTTTATTTAGAATAGCCGTGAGATCATGTTCCGAAGACTTTTGTTTTATCTATTCATACCACAGATTTCTGCGGTATTAAAATCAAAAAAGGGAACTGTCCAAAGTTTTGTAAATGTGGATATGATAAACAAAACCGTCATATTTCTACATGTAATGGCAAATTGGCGAGTACAAAGTTAAATATTATTCCAAAATTTCCTTTAAAAACAGTTGAAGTTATTTTTATATATAATCAATTACCAAATGTGTCAAGAAATGCACTCAGCAATCTAACAGATTTAAAACTTATAAATTTAGATTTGCAAGGCAATTCGATCAGGGTTATTAAAAGATATGCCTTTTCTAAATTCGATTACCTGCAAAAGCTAGATCTTTCTAACAACAGTATAACGGAACAGGATGCAATGAACTGTTTTAAAAGTTTACCAAAAGGTATACAATGTTTGAGATTATACCATCTTCACTGGTATCCATTTGAAGGATTATTTGATGGTTTAGCAAATAGTTCTTTAACAAGTATAGAGTTAAGCCATAGCTACTTAACTCCATTTGAAGGAACTTGGTTTTCAGGTCTTAGCCAACTGATGTCACTGGACATTTCATGGAATTCAATTAAAGATTCGGATTGTAATTTGACTGGACTTTCTAATATACGCTATATTAACTTGGCTGGCAACAGGTTTAATGAAATTCCAGATTTTTGTCAGTTCGGTTTATACAGTATTGAAAAGTTACAACTGTCTGAAACAAAGCTATATACCATTAACCATTTAGAAAACTATTCTGCGTGTCTGCAAAATCTTACGAAGTTATATTTGAGTGGACTTTCAATAGAGATAATACCAACAAACATATTTTCTAATCTCAATTCTTTAAAGGTGCTTACAATGACGCAGATGTCTACACAATTTAAAAGTATTGAAAAATATGCCTTCAATAGTTCTACTTTACAAAATTTAACATTCTGGAGAGCAGACGGCTTTCCGTTTACCTCGAGATCGGTGCAACAAGGACTGTTTCATCCTGATTCATTTTTTAGATACTGTAAAAATATTAAAGACCTTGATATATCTAATAATAAAATAGATTTGATATCAAATACAATCAGATCCATGTTCGAACCTCTGACAGAACTTAGGAGATTATGGATGGAATCAATGTCTCTATCATACATGCCGAAAGACTTTTTACCGCTATTTCCATTACTGAAATTGATTTCATTCGAGAACAATCGAATTCACCCTTGGAATTATGGCCATTCTGTGTTTTATGGAGTTCGAAATTTGAAGATAGTTAATCTAAGGAGAAATAAGATCGGAATGATTTATGATACATCTTTTCCGCTGGCTCTTTTGAACAACTTGACCTCAATAAACATCATGCATAATCGGTTTAGCTGCACTTGTGATCTTCAGTGGTTTAGGAATTGGATGAAACATACCCGTGTAAATATTACTGGAAATAATACTTACAAATGTGATATTGGCAAAACGAAGGTAGTTGATTACAATCCAGACTTTATAGAATGCCACATTTTGTCAATTTCCTTATCAATCGGATTTGGCGTCGCTTTAATTTTGATCGTAACTATAACCGGTTATATCTGTCGGTGGCGTTTCCGATTCCAGTTGTACAAACTTCGTTCACTTCGCAAACAGTACAAAGAACTTGTCAACAGAGAGGATTTGGTATATTCTGCGTACGTAGTTTACTGTTACGAAGATTTCACGTGGGTAAAAAGAAGCCTCATTCAAGAAATAGAAGAGAAGCAAGGTTATAAGTTGTGTATTCCACACAGGGACTTTGAATTAGGAAAAGTATTTGCAGATAATATTGTTGAACATATGCATTTGAGTGAAACAGAAATACTTGTTCTTTCTAATAATTTTGCAAAAAATGAGTGGTGCTTATTTCAGCTTGCTGTTGCTAAAAACAAAGTAAATAAACTTGGGAAATTATCCATATTTCTTGTGTTACTCGAAGAAATAGAATTTAAGAACATGAATTCTGCGCTATATCACCTTTTGAAAATGTCAAGCTATGCAGCATGGGACAATGATGACAATGCTCAGAAACTTTTCTGGGATCAAATAAGAGATCACCTTAGTTGAACTGTTGACGTTTTTATCAATTGGAGGATTTTGGAGTAAGAGTTTTCCTGATTCAAGATAAATTAAAATTATTGATGAAATAATAATGCTTATAATAAAAATGTTTTATAATCCTAATGAATTGTATTAATTCGATTATAAATAAAAGTACAAACACATCTTAAATAATAATTTATTATAGTAGTAATAATATGTGCATGTTTTCAAGAAAATATTATATATGATATAGGCGAATCCTTCATCTGACCTAAAAAATGGTCTGCCTCTGTGGTATCGAAGCATTTTGTACGACTGGTGTGCAAAAGAACGCAGCATTTATGGGTAAGAGAAAAAAACCTTTTATGCTGAAAATTAGAACTAGAATTTTAATTCGTTCCATTCTTCCCTGTTATTGAAGTAGTTCAGAGCTCGTCGAAGGTTTTAGGTTAATTTATAGTACTATCTTTTTTCTTATATTGCATTTAAAACTACTTATTTGGCTTTTGGTGTACACATCATTAGTTGATCAAAGTGTTTTTGTCCTATGGCATTTATTCTATGTATTTTCTGGACAATAACATTTTAATTTCACATGAATATACTCTAACTTGTACCTTAGCCTTGTTTCAAACTTAGTGTTCCTGAGCATCTGACATCACTCCCGGTTATTGTAGAGGTTCGTATTGCTCAGCCTTTAGTTTTTTATGTAGTGGTTTGTAAAATTGTTTATCTCTTTCGTACTTCGTCATGACTTTGTCGGTTTCACTTTGGATTTTTAGTTTTGATTTTTCACTCAGCAACCAAGTTGAACGTATCTTTTCTTTAAATGAACAAATTGGTTTTGATATGTACCAGTTTCAACAATAGCAGTATAATTATTGTTATTATCATTTATTCAAACAGATGGATTTAATGGACAGGTCTTACCCCAGGTTTTCGATGGGGTTCTTGTTGCTCGATCTTTAGTTTTCTATGTTGTGTTTTGTATGCTGTAACTGTTGTTTGACTTTGTGTTGTTTTACGTTTTTGCCCTTACATTGCCAGTTCGTTTTCGGCGTATGATTTTAATTATCCATTTGATATCTTTCGCATCTCTTTCAATCAGTTGTTTTATAAATAATATGACCAAAATTTAAGAAATACCACTTTTTATTAAATTCCGGAAAGAAGGATCCTGCTTTGACAAGAAATTCCTATATTTTGGATAAAAGTGATTACCGCTTAGCCTATTAACATACGCTTTGCCACAATATTTGATATCAATTTCCTTAACAGTTGAAATATAAACTGATGAAATGTTATATATTAAATTTGCACACTAAATTCTGTAAGGTTGCACCTGGTATAGATAGCAAGACTGTCAACATTAGTTTTATATCCAAGTAAGGGAGTCTAACAATATAAAACGATCTTTTTAACATGTATTGGACTAGGCCGAAATTTTCAGAAAATGACATCATTCTTATTTGTGCAGTTTTTGATCCATAATTAATTGTCTTTGAGAAAATATTGTAGAACATATGGATGGTATTCATTTTCAATACTCTTATAATTTCTTAAATTTGAGCCATTTTTAAAGATCTTAGAATATCCAATAATGTTACATTTAAAGAAACAAAACATAATAAAAATGGTTCTTTACATATAAAAAGCATACTTTTATGGACAGCAGAATATACTGATAGTGATAAACACAATGCCAAAGTTTGAATTCGCCTTTTCAGAATCTAAAGTACTATGGGTAATTTCTTTGTGTTTGTACCCAAAAATATAAATTGTGTCATGTCATTAGTAGAATTTCCATTGTTTATGGTTTTGTTGGCCAATCACAACGTTTTGATGTACGCTTTTGAAACCATTACCCAAAATACATTATAACCTGAACCTTTGGATTGACCTTAGAACATACAGGAAGTTTAAGCCTTGATTCCAGTTTTAAAACGTGACAGCTTTAATATGGCCACGGAAATCATAGGATAGTTCATTTACAATTTATACTGTTTGCCAAGGTTTATACAAAGAGAGAAAAATAACAGTCTGGGAATAAAAGATAGAACATGTCACAATGCAATATCGGATACGGTTCATTTTTATTTGAGTGTATTTTTCTTCATAATGTGATTAATAAATACTTCAGCAAAAATGTTTAAAACTTTGTTATTTGTAATCTGATTATATAATCAACCAGTTATTTATTTATGAAGATAAAATATAGAAATTTTTTAACTTAAAATTTCAAGCTTTATCTGATAAGCAATTGGAAAGATTGACTAATATGCAAACTTTATTGATGTTCTCTTTGATATTTATTTAAAAAATAAGAAGATGTGGTATGAGTGCCAATGGGACAACTCTCCACCAAAGACCAATAGACGTAGAAGTTTAAACCAAATAACTCATTTCACAACCATCCAGTACTACATTTGAGTAGATGTTGTCTCCCCTTCACTATTCAGATGTGATAAAAAAAAAAAAACCACATTATTATCTCTCTTTGTGTGTGCAGTGGTCAACATAAAAATGATGTGTTGTTAATTTACCAACTTGTTTATTTGGGTATGAATTCCTTATACTACTCTAATCAGGACACCATAATTTTGCTATTAAAATATGTATTTCTCTATGTCTATCTATGTCTATGTAAGAGCACTAGTCAGAAGAACTGTAATATTTATAGTTGAATATTTACTGGATGCAGGTACACTACACTAAAGAAGTAGTCGTTTGTTGCTGTTTCTCATACCGGTATTTGTTTTTCGTTTCTTGTTTTGAAAGGCTTGATCTTGTGTAGTGCCATTGCACCACTAATCCCAGGTTATGGGAGGGTTGGCGCGAACAAACTTTTTAACCCCGCCACATTCTATAAGTAACTGTCCCAAGTCAGGAGCCTGTAATTCAGTGGTTGTCTACTATTGCTGTATATCATATTTGTTTTTCGTTTATTATTTTGTACATAAATCAGCCCGTTATTTTTCTCGTTTGAATTTTTGTCATTTCGGGGCCTTTTATAGCGGACTATGCGGTATGGGTTTTACTCATTGTTGAAGGCCGTACGGTGATCTATAGTTGTTATTGTCTGTGTTATTAGGTCTCTTGTGGAGAGTTGTATCATTGGCAATCATACCACATCTTCTTATTTGTGTATGTCAAATTTCCTTTGAATTTATTTCACTTGTATGGTCAAAATTCGAAGTCGTTAAAACCTACATTGGAATTGGTATATGAAAATAGTCTAAATAATGCACATTAGAAACATCAACTATTTATGCTGAGCATATAAACAAAGGACGAAAAAGGATAGCCGAAGCAGGGTAAGGAATCAGTGGTTTGCATGAGGGAGATATTATATTCCTTAATTCAAAATAATTTCCAAGACTTTGTAAAAGCTAATTTTAATTACACAATATCCATACCTTATGCATGTACGAAAGTACTGACTACTGACTAACATACAACCAGCAGAGATATCGTTCGACCCAGTGGTAGAAATAACATCAACGGTACTAATTTTTTCTACACCAGATGCTCATTTCGAAAATTAATTTCTCTTTAGTGATGCTCGAGGCCAAAATGTTTGAAAATGCAAAAAATGCAGAGCTTATAAACCAAAAAGGACAAAAAGCATAACCATAGTCGGGCAAAGAATCGGTGTTTTGCATGAGGGAGATGTATTCCTTAATCTTAAATAATTTCTAAAATTTTGTAACTGCAAATTTCAGTAGTACAATATCTGTATTTTCGTGCCAGTATACACTGGACTGGTGATTACCCTCGGGGGCTAACTGCCCATCAGCACATGTATCCCCATTATAACTTTAACAACAACTTTACGCGTATTGTACATGTACAATCAAATTTATTTTCACCAATTTGCATATTTTTTGGATATGCCTTTTGTAAAATGTCACATCGAAGGAAATCCTCAACTATTATGAACTAATTTGTAACAGATATGTTTGGTTTGGTTCAGAATTTCCTTCCTTTAAACTTTTTCGATAATTACTTTTGAGCTAGAAATACATAATTATTCTGTATAAACGTCAACATTTACACATGACGCTGTCAAGCTGAGATATTAAATAAGATTGGACTAATTTTTATATTAATGGCCTTGGTGTGAAATTAATTCCGGAAAAATAGGTTCTATCGATCACTTTCTTTTTTTTTGTGTGCAATTCAAGACGCCAATTCATAGTAGGAACCTTTCCGGAATCCAATAGTAACTTTCAATGCATTCGTTGTATGTGTTCATATACAGTATTGTCTTCAGTAGAAGTAGGCAGTATGACCTTATTGGAATTTGTAACCTGAATATAAAAGTAAACGATATTGTTGGCTGCTTCATTAGTTAATACAAACACAAAATTCCAAGAATGTTTCATTTGTTTTTTTCTTCAATTTTGCATTGTTCTAGTGAAACAAATTTGTATACAAATACTTTAATAATGTTTAATACAATAATCTACCATTATATTTTTTTAAAAAGAATCCAATTGTTTTTTTATTGTTTTTTTTCTCTTTTGCATCAATATTTGCAGTAATAAAACGTATGAATGTTTAAGTATTTAAACCAATTACAGCTTTTATAAAACGTGGTATTCAGTGTATTGTTTTAAAATAGGTACTGTTGTAACAATCAGAGTTCTTTTTGAACAATTATTGAAAGATTTTTTATAGTGACAACCGTCAAAGAGAAATTTGATTAAAAACATTGACGGATTTTGAACGAATAGAATCTCGCCTTATTTTTCCTTGAAACTTTTGTGAACTTTTACGGACTTAGCAAATCATAGTGTAGTTAAAAATGATGCAGTTTTTGTTTACAAAACAAAACCACACTGCAAAATTGTCGCGTCCTTAAAAGAAGATTATTTGTCCGTTTTCTCTTCACTATTGTACGATTTCTCATTCGCCTTCTCAAAATGTTAGTACACAGAATACACAGTGAAAGTGCAATGCAGTCATTCTATGAATAGTTTATTGTAGCCATTTTCTCTTTGTAATCGTTTTACTGAACTCCCACAATTTCTTCACCCATGTTTTTAATGAAAAACTTTGATAGTGACAACAGATGACGTTGACAAAGTTTTTGATGGAAA